CCAGACGGCAGGACTCCTTAGGCAGGTGATCAGCTCGTCGCAAGGCCGCTACCTAAACACAGGACAGCACGAACCGAATAAACGCATACACCGAATATCCATGCTTTGAGTGGAATTCGAACCCGCGATCCGCGCGGCTACACTGACCGGCATGTTTTATTCTTACCCACACATCGACATGAAATTCAACATTTCTTAGTAATACAATTACAAATTTTATCAAAATACGGTATCTTACAGTTTTTGTTAAATTGTCATGTAATTATTAAAATAAAAACCAGTTATTTTATTGTACAATATTTAAAAGAATGTTATATGGGTCTTGTCTTTCTAATGATTTGGGGCCTCGTGACGCTTCAATCCGGTCTTGCCTTCGTTACTCTGCTGGTCCACGCTGTTCTCAAAACACGTGACGAAAGAGACGCAGTCTCAAATACCGCGATTTTTTCAGGTTTATTTTCGGTTCTCGACGTGGAAGCAGTGCAAACCCCCCCCCCTGTGTTCGGCACTCGGAAACGTTACACGTGTTAAGAGCCAAATAACCCATAGACGCCGAGTCGTAATTTTACCGGTCATTTCATTTTGGAAATCATATCTAGGCCAATAAAACTCATCTCCCTCTGTAACCAGCCAAATGCCGGGTCAGAGATAAACCCCAAACTTAAAGACCGCGCATATGATAATGTGCTGCTTGGTGAGGGGTATCGAGGTGATAGATGCAAATGGAGCAATGGTGGAATGATGACTGGCATGGAAAAATATGAAGCTGGGGCTGAAATCCTCTCCACTTCCATTTCATCCGACACCAATCTGACTTGAAATCGCCTGGAACCGAACTCGAGGTTCCGCAGTGTAAATGTCCAAGCTCTGGGGTAGTAGTGTTGTGTGTACATAGACAAAACTTAAACTCGTCTGGGAAACTTGGTCGAAACTCGCCATTTTGAACGCTTCATGCGAACCGTCCATAATTGAACTGTATGCACAAAATGAACACATAAGAGGAAGGGTTCTTTATTCTTGTTCCCGGAAATATACGTGTAGTTGGTGGCTTACAATTTGAGCTGGCCGTCCACACAGAAGTGCCTGGCGAATACAGTTAGAATGAAGATCACGGTATTCTGGAACGTGAGACCGTGTGGTTTGGTAGTTGAGTATTAAATGATTGTGGGGAAGTACCGCTTCAATTTTCAGGGCTGAAGATTGGGTCAGATCCGTTGACCAGACTACACGGCGTCGTCATGAGAAACTCATATCTGCAACAGAATTGCCACATGATGGGGCGAGGATACCCAGAAAGGCAATGCAGTTGACTGCAACGAGCCCCACTCGCGTGACCCCAAAAGCGGTGGTTAAGAAACCAATGCTATGTTGTTGCTTGATGGCGTACCTTATCTCTGTTATCGACCGAGTAAACCACTGAAGTACTGCTTTATCGGGTTCCTTTGGCAAACAGAATTCTTCATGTCTGCGACATATCTGAGCTGCTAGGATAATTCCTTTGGTTCCGAGTGGAACATAGGGCTCCTGTGAACCTTCTCCAAATACTTTCCCTCTGGTTTGCCAACCTTAGGGGTTCCAATCTAATATCCGTTTCTGTGGCGCCAACTGATTTCCTTAAGTGTGCCCGATCCATCTCCAGTTTCTGTTTTTAATTTGGATGTCAACTGGTTCTTGTTTGTAATCTCCCACAGAGAGTTATTTGATATTGTGTCTGGCCATCTGAGAAACTAAGAACTCCGTGGCTTGAGTCCGCAAGTGAACTATACCGACCGAGCGACCGCCACTTTTCGGCGAAGTTAATGCCAACTTTAGCGGATAGAGGGTTTCATGTGCGCAGCGCAACGAATCCCCGCGGCCGTTAATATCTGTTTTCTAGACCGGAACCGCTATTTCCTTGAAATAGCTCCTCAATTATCCTCACTAGGCTGGGTGGACCCCGTTCAAAACCCACTACTTCTCAGAAAATCTGGTAGCGCCGGGAATCGAATCCGGACTTCTGGATGTATAGCCAGGAACTCTGACCCCTAGACCACAGCGGCGGTCTTACTATGTTTAAATTGCGTCTTGAATACCCATTTACAAAGCTTTGTAGTTTGTGAATGTTTGTTTTTCCATGTTTCGCAGGCATAAAGGAGAACGTGTTTTACATTAGTATAAGAATCCGTAATTTAGTTTTCTTTGAAAGATTTCTGTTCCCCCATACCTGACATAATTGTATAAAAGTTACATTTGCTTTTTTTATTCTTTGATACGTGTCTTGATCTGTTCCGCCATCTTTAGTTACCTGTTAATATTCGGCGTTTTGCCTGTGGACATTAGTGTCCGCGTTAGTGGCAGAGGAGGGGCCGCGACATAGCTCAAGCGGTTAGTCGCTGGCTTTCCACCGCAGCGGCCCGGGTTCGATCTCGGGTCTGGTCAAATGGGATTTGTGGTGAACAAAGTGGCGCTGGGGCAGGTTTTCTCCGAGTACTTCGGTTCCCCTGCCAATCTTCATTCCACCAATTGCTCCACACTCACCCTCACCTATCATCTGGGGCTGGTACAATCGGCCAGAAGTGGCCGCAGTACGAGGGACTTAGGACCTGAAATTTGTCAGTACCGCCTTTGTGCAATGACTTCCAGGAGCCCAGACTACAAGTCTGTGGCTTCTAACGAAGTGCTGATTACATGGGCGCCAGAGGGGGGGGGGTTAAAGGGAAACTAGATAATACCAAAATATGGTGGGGCTATATCTCCACTTCCCCTTGTGTCTTCATGTCATAATGCTTAATTAATTAAGGACAGGAACAGCTTTACCTTTTTGAAAAATATTAATAATGCAAATTAAAATTAATATTTTAATTTGTAAAAGTAGGCCTAAACGCCTGCCCCCCCCCTTTCACTCCGGAACAGAATCGAGGCCCCGTTAGTGACTGTAGCAGTTCCTGAGTCAGGATGCTGCACTGAAGCGGCTGATGACAAAACAAAATCTTAATATAGCTGCATTGAGTCAGGCCAGTCACTTCATGGGCGAGCACTTGGCATCTTCACGCACTTATCCTTTCGGGGGGTGAATGAAACCTTTAGCGGAAATTGTTCTGTTTACTTCGTAATCAGCGTACAGCTGTCGCGCTTCTAAGCGCACACTTGGTACGGAAACCTGAGGGGACCTCTGTGTTCTCCAGTTGCAGGACTGCTGACTGAAGTCAGCGACTGGCCACCTCGACAGTGATGCTCTTGGCTTCCCCTTGTCTGCAAGAAAATGTTGAGGGGGTTCCCAACTGCAATCTAAACCAAACTCCTCCCTCCAGAAGTCCCCACGTTACATTTCCAAATTATTCGAATACTCAGAAAATAAGAATTTTGCGGCTCATATTTGCAGTGGTACACAGA